GGGGGCAGAAACCCGAGGCCATTGTGCTGCCCTGAGGAGTAAAACCCTCCCCCGAGGCGGCCCCCTCCTGCCTGCCCCCTGGACACCCGAGCAGCTCCCTTCCTCCCTGCTCTCATCTGCCTCTCACCTCGCCTTCCTCCATCCCGTCTGGCTGCCTCCTCGCCGGCAGCTCCACATCCCGGCGCGTGTTTGTGCCTCTCTGCTCTGGCTCGTGAGCCCCGATGCCCAGAGGCTGGCTGCCTGCGCCGCTCCCCTCCGCCCTTTTAAATCACACCGGCCTTCCCGCACCCTGAAATCACCCAGCCCCTTAAATCTGCCCTGGGTGATTTAGCAAGGACCCAGGACAGGACTGACCCCCAGGAGCATGATACATGGCTATCATAGGCATCTGGCAAGTGTTTAGATCCCCAGGGTCCCCGTTTGCTCCTGGCTTAGTGTTTCCCTGAGCCCGAAAGAGGGGGTGTCCCCCACCCCGTAGGTACAGTGCCGAGCCCTGCTTCGACCCGCTGCCGTGCTGTGGGGTCTGGCCCCAGCCCAGGGAGAAGGTTTCCCTCTGGGCAGCACCATGGTGGAAACTGACTGGCCAAGAGCCACAGGCTCTGGCGGGGAGCGAGGGCTTGTGTGTGCCAGCCTGGGAGATGATGGCTGAGATAATGCTTTTGCCTAAATAGCAACTGGGACATTAAAGTAAACAGCGGGAGCGGGAGCTGCAGCCTCCGTCCCAAAGCACGGCGGTGCTCACCAGGCACTACTGGCACACGCTTGTGCGTTGCTGTGCTGCCTTGCTTGGGCTGTCCCAGAGGCGAGGGTCCACGTTGGGGTATAACATTTAAACGTGGCTGTTTGACCCGACTGGCCCCGGTTGCTGCAGCAGAACAGCGTGCTCTGTGACACTGGGGGCTCGGACAGGGTCTGCACCCAGCTCCAGAGCAGAGACAGTGCTGGCAGTTGGCTGCCGCCTTCCCTCCCGCTGGGAATTTCTCACCCAGACCATCATTTCCCTCTTCACCATGGAGAACAGCGATTTCCCATAGCAGTAGCCTCCTCCTCATCCCCAGCACAAATTAAATAATCACTTTGGGCAGGACTCGCCCCGAGTCCCTCATCCCCTGCACAGTGACGGGTGGATGATGCCAAGTACTCCGTGCAGAGCCACGATGTGTTGCTCTAAGAGTGCGCTGGCCTTGTCTTGCAATACCTTAAGGCAGTTTCTTGCTCCGATGCAAGACTTCTGAGACAAGCCTCTCCTCTTTTCTTCCTGCCTGGTGCGAAGTGACTTGCAGTGTTGTCACTTGGTGGATTTATGTGCGTCTCGTTTTTGCTCGTAGCCCATGTGCTCCGGAGCAGCTTACCCAGGAGGTTCCATGCGTCCTCCTCCCACTCCGCCAAGGTCCCTGCAGGACGCTGAGCTGCCCAGGGGCTGCTCTCCCCTCTCCGCGCACACATCAGGCTGCCACGCCAACCTACGCCGCTGCCCAAGTCCCTTCTCTCCCGGGCTGCCCTCCAGGCCTCGGCCAAGGTTAACCCGGTGGTGCCGGTGACCATGGCACGTCTAACCACGGGCTTGTGCGACCAGAGACGCTGACCCGCTGACCTGCCGTAAACAGTGGCGGGGGGGGGGGGGGGGCGCGCGTGCGGAGCGGTGATGGCAGGGCCTGCTCGGTCCCTGTCCCGGCGGCACCATTTTGGCTTGGTGCAGGAAGCAGAGCGGATCTGCGGCTGCCATGGCGCTTGCAGCCAGGCTGCATAAAAATCACACCGCGCTGAGCGCTGCGCATTGTTCTGCTTTTATTTTTTAAACCATTAGTTCCATTTCAGCGTGGCCCCGTTTGTCTGCTCCCATGCTCCAGCACGCTGTAGCTTTAGGGTTCTTTTCATTAAAAACCAAAAAAGTAATTGCAAAGCAGATGGAGCAGGGTTTTTTTTTATATATATATTGAAGTTAAATCAGACCTTTGGCTAGGAAAGACCATTGGGGACTACCTCAGTCTGACGTTCACCAGGGCAGTGATCTCTGGACTATTCATTCTTACACAGAGTGTTGCCGAGCTCACAGTAAAGTCTCTTCCGTACAAAATGTGCAATGGACTTGAAATGTTATTTTTCTAGATGCTACTTCAAAAAATAGTAAGATGGCGTATTCAAAAATAAAAATCCAGAGCATTTAGACAAAATTAGTGTTAGTTTTAAAAATTAAAACAATTCCACAATTGTTTGCTTTTATTTGTAAAATACTTAAGCTTTTAAAAAATGTCTAGAAACATGAATATTCGTTCATATTTTAATTATTACCGGTTACATAGTGAACATTGCCTGTTTGCATCCTACATAGATTTGCTTGAAATTACGAGGGGCAAGTACACTCGGTACGCTGGGACAAAATTAACAAATGTCCCCCAAATATTTAAAACCAAATCGGAGTATGGTTGCTCGTTTGATTTACCCCGTTTCAGTGGAGCTTGGTGCAAGACTGAGCAGCACATTAGTTTACAACGTTTTAAAACATTCGTTAAAATATTTACTCTCTGGTCTAAAACAAAGCCTTAGAGCCTACAAACGTGCCCAGGTCAGGCAAATACACGCGGATAATTCGACTGAACGATTTAGAAGCAGAGAATCGCTTGTATTTAAAACCGTGCGTATTTTCAATACCCCCTTAGTGCATCTATTTTAGGCAGATGCTTAAGATTAAAGGGCCGCACGTCAGCCCGTATCTTACCCGTCCTTCCTGTCATCGTTTCTTTGCAATTTAATTTTGTGTTTTCCTTCCAGCCTAGAAGTGTTTGGTACCAGTCTCTTGGCAAAAGAGCCTGAGGAATGGAAGGGTAAAGAAATATGACCCAGCTGCTATGCACAATGAGGTTTGTAAGTCCTTGTATGGTATAAATAAGCATATTACACAGTTATTAGAAATTTGGCACTGTCCCTCTTTAGAAGCCCGAGTCTGATGCTGTGTAATTCCTCCCGAGTACATGCATAATTCACTATTAGCACTCCATTCTTCCAGCCTTATTGCTGGCCAAATTCGGCAACTTTTTCTCCGTCCTCATCCATTCAAACCCTCCTCGGCGGTGTAAACCGGTGAGTTTCCGCTCAGGCCAATAAATCTATGCCAACCCGCCCGGCCGAGGCTCGGTCCTGACTTCACGGGAGCCGGGGCCGGAG